GACGCGTATTGGAGCAAAATACAACCAGTGTACGAAGCCGAATATGTGAGACATATTGATAAACCGAGACGCGACGTAACTCGGGAAATCTGCTTGATATTTATTGACAGAAATGAAGTAAAAAGAACTGCAGGGAGAAATACAAGTCTCAGTTCTGTTCCGAAGAACCGCGCATTTGTCAGAGTGAACGGAATTGAAGGAAACTTTTTTGGGGGGTGGAGTGGGGGTGTCATATGAAGAAGATAACATACGGATACATAACAGACAGACATTTCCCTTTTATAGATTGTTATTTTGTATATACTTCCCCCGTTGGATAAGACATTTCATTTTGTGAAGTTCTGAATTTTTGTACCACCGCGAAGTTTTCCAAAATTGAAATAACTCGTTATTTGTTTACCGTTACTGTTATCATACTACTCTGTATCAGCTGTTGAAGTTATACACGGATTACGAATGAATTCCGGATTTATGAAATTAATTTGTCGTGTTTTGCTTGAAGATTGTGTCTCAGAATTCTCATGGAGAAACCGTGTAAAAGCCATTTCCTGGTTGGTAAGGCAATGAATTAGCGGAAAGAAAATTTATGACGTCATATGCGATGTGGTGCTATGTTATGAAAAACCCTTAGAAGCGCCAGTGAGTTTAAGAAGGGCGAGGCGCTTGAGCAGACATGTTTTCGGCTGTGACGGTTCCCAGGCAGTACCCGCTCGTCCTTAATTCTTTAATGTTGTTTGAGGACATAATCGATATTTGCAGTAATAATTGTACAAACCCATTAATACAATTTGGGAAAAATGCAGAGTTGCTGAATTTTAAAGTAGGTGGTACATATACTTACCACCAAGCTTTAAACCGTTAATAACTTCTTAATTTCAGACAGAAGGGGGTTTGAAGATTGCCGTAATTTGCTGTCCGTTTCTTAATGTGTAAAATTAGTTTATATTTTGTTTGTGGTTACGTCCAGATGGCGTAGGCTACGTTTTACACTGATGGCGTCTTCGCGAGGCTGTTCAATGTCTTCTCCATTTCAGTCTATTTGCGGAGTTCCTATAAATTCAATTACCCGTGTAATGGAGTTCTGTTGTAAGCATTTCTGACGTTGGTTACAGCTGTAAAGTGACTTGCGTTATTTATTTGTTACCTTCGTTTCCTTTCATCATATTCTGATACACAATTTATCAGTTTTCTTTATATTAACGATGCAGTGAAAAATTAACGAAATGTATCTGGAGTATCTTTAAGGATGAAACTTTGCCATTTAAAACTTGACGTATGTATCGTATTTCTTTTGTTTCGAAAAACTTATTTACTTTTTGTGGTTTGAAACGCGAGTCTAGTGCGCTTGCACTACACATCTGCCTTCCAGTGAGTGAGATGTCATAAATACAAGCGAAAGCCAGGGGATTCAGCTTTCGGCTTGTACACTGCACACTTTCAAGGTTCGTAAGTTTGCTTTTCGATATTCGGTTTTTGCCTCCCAAATCTCAAGCGATCGGCAAATAAGAAACGTTTAAAAAAAGAATGCGTGTGTTCGTTCGTGTGAGTTCTGAGGCTTCCGTCACATTCCCTCACCAGATGTCACGTCAGTGTTAACAGATTCGTATATTAAAGTATTTTCAACAGGCAAGTCCGAGGCCATTATAAGTGGCTATGATGTTCCAGGTGGTTGTGGCCATGTTTTGAACAAATGATTTCGTCACAGATACCAACGTTTCGGAGTAAAATCCTGCCGCCTTCTTCACAATTGCCTGAAGATTAAGGCGACATTTTCCTCCGAAACGTCGGTTAGCACATACACGGTGACGCGATATCATAATCCACTAGACCATAATATAAAACGCGAAAATAATATTAAAGTTTACTAAAAAATTTCCTGTCAATAATGATGGAAGAATCAAAAATGTTTCGTAAGAGAAAATTATTTTTATTGAAAGTGTAACAAAGCAACACTAGAAAAATATAAATATTACCTCGTAAGGTTCAAAATAGCTTGACAGCAGGAAATGTCTATCAACCACCGTTGCTTATTATGTGGATAGATACCTGAGTGGAGAACAGTATGTTGGAAGAACTAGTAAGTGATGGACGTGTCAACGGAAGTTGTCTGAGCCGGAGGGAGTGGAAGGAAATAGACCATGGTATTTGACCTAGTTATCATGCGTGGTAACACATTTTACCAGCACGAGAGACGGCTTCTGGAAACATCTCAGAAAAGATTATTAACGTTCCAAGCATTGCCTTCCATATTGAAATATTGAAGGCAGAACTATAATATTCTCTTAAGAAGCAATAAACTACGAGCAGTTTTTTTCTGTATTGCTTTATATATATATATCCTGATTTTTGAACTCTATTTTTGTCAGCCTCCGCCTTCTGGTGTTCAGTATCAGATATTGGGAATGAAAGGAATTTGTTTCTGGGGGGGGGGGGGGGGGGGGCTTGTTCCCGTTCCCGCCTAATTTAGAGCCCGCTGATTAAACTCAGCGAAGCACATGTTGTTTGGGGGGGGGGGGGGGGGGGTGCGTTGAAAGACAGATTGGAGGGGCAAACAAATTGTTATTGAAGGCTCAGAATGCAGGGGATTCACCGCTGTCTACAGTTACTGCATTATAAGTCTGCCTAATATGAAATAGAGAACGCCAAAGAAACATTTTTGGAAATAAATTATAACAATACAGAACTTATTTTGTATTGTGCTGGATTCATTATTGCAAATGTGTGTTAGGACACTAAGTAAGTTATTCGCTTTAAACTGATATGTTTTTTGTATCTTGAATTATTCCAGCCTGTTCGACAGGAGATGATTAGGTTGAATTGAAGTGTTAAAAATAGTTTTATTTCGTAAGTCTTGTATCGTTATTATGTCTGTAAATTTCCTTTGTCTACGACGTTTCGGGAGCCACATCTACTCCTATCTTCAAGTGGTTGGTCGTGTTTATACTAACACTTTCATTATTTTTAAAATTATTGATGAATAGTATTATGTGGGACATTTTCCATTGCCCACGACGTTTCGAGAGCCAGTTATACCCTCGTTTTTGGGTAATTTATCTTATTTATAGTGAAAATATTTTATATTTTTAAGAAAATTTGCGGGTATTATAATCGAAATCGGTACCTCTCAAATGCTAAATTCGTACGTTATTCTGTCAGAATAATGACAACAAATCGCCATCACTGATATTTGTTTATATATAATAAAAGCACACAGACTGCGCGCATTGTATTTGCTCTCTGCTGGGTAGTATCTCTACTGTTTACATCCCGTTACAGTAAATTTTTTTTCTGCTATAAATGAGCGTGGAGGCCAGTGGATAACGTATTTTTCCTTCTTGACATTGCGGCTACAGTTTTAATGACTTACTAGTATAATATGTGAGATTAGGCAGTCAGTGCGACACGAGTTCTGCACATGGCTTCATGCGTTCCGCTGATTTCATATTCCATCAAAAAACAAACTCCACAAATCCCACGCTTCATTCTGGATTTTTCTACATGTGAGGGAAATATGTTATTTTAAGGTTTCAAGCCCTTCCCCTGGAAGTTAACGTGTCTGTATAGAGTTCCAGAATTTTCTTTACTTCAAAAATCAATGATACTACGAGGCAGAATATGACAACAAAATGTGGTAACTGTGAAACATGAAACGCGTACAAATATACCGCATAATTGGTGGCAGAAAAACATAATTTATTCGGAATATGTTTTTTGTTTGTTTGTTTATTGCACCCCGATGAAATTCAGCAGTAATTCGGATTTGTTAGTAATCTTAACCCCATAAATCACAGTGGTAATTATATGTACCACCTACTTTAATATTCAGTAACTCTGCATTTTAGTGTCTCGTATGATTCCCAGTGTAAACAGCGATTATTTCCTTAATCAGCGTTAACCAGTTGATCTTTGTAATGGTGAAGTGTTGTGTTTTTTTCGCGGTACGGATTGAGTTTTTAAATATTATTCAGACGAACTATGATTCTCACTATAGGCATCGATTATTTCCTTAAACAGCGTCAACCAGTTGATTTTCGTAATGGTGAAGAGTTGTGTTTTCTTCGCGGTACGGACTGAGTTTTTAAATATTATTCCGACGAACTATGATTCTCACTATAGGCATCGATTATTTCCTTAAACAGCGTTAACCAGTTGTTCTTTGTATTGTTGAAGTGTCGTGTTTTCTTCGCGGTACGGACTGATTTCTTAAATAATATTTAGATGCCTACGCAGTGTATCTGTGGGTTTAGTGTGATTCTCATAATAAATAGCGAATATTTCTCAACGAAGTCTCGCGATGGTTTCTGTCAGTTCAGCGCTGGCATTAGCAGATTACGACACTCTGTATGTTAACTCATTTAGTGGAGTAATAACTCCGAATGCAGTCAGAGGGGAGTAATATGTTAGGCTGGGGAACCCCCTGAAGTGCTGGTAGCGGCAAGTGGCAATTTCTCACTTTGCCACCAGAGGCGTGGTGGGCTGATCGGCTGGCCGTCTTTCAGGAAGTGACACACGCCTCGTCCTTTGTCGTAACTTTGTTATTAAACCGCTCACTGACGGATCGAGCGGGTTATTGCAGCGGTAACGTTCTTGATTAGTTTTTGGCGAGTTACCAGCTACGCTACTTTCATGGTTTTCCTCAGTGTATTGTGGACATTGCTGAGTTAGAACTTGAAATTCGTGTCATTTGATCTTATTTGGTGCTGCATAAATGTTGCATCCCGAAAAAAAATTGTACGATGTGGAAAAAATATGAGCGGACGAAGTGTAGTAGCAATAAGTGCAAACGAGGCATTATTGGTGCCTATGGTGGGGTCTGGCGGAGTCTGCGTGTTAGTTTTCGTGAAAATGTTTAGTTTATTAAGAAATGTGATTGGCAGAGATAATGCTGCAATAAATTGTGTCACTGTTCAACACAAAAAGTTTAATTCAGGGTCAACTTTGACGGACCATAGTACTCGAGTAAGTGTAATGAACGGGAAATTTCTTTTCGTTGTGCACAGGTTATGGCAACATCGCTCCTCAAACGGAGATCGGGAAGGTTGTGACGATCATCTACGCCATTATCGGGATGCCCCTATTTCTGCTGTACCTCTCCAACATCGGCGACATCCTTGCCAAGAGCTTCAAGTGGACGTACGCCAAGTGTTGCTTGTGCTACGGGTGCTGTGACGGAGCGTCGCGACGCCGTGCTTTACGCCGTCACCAGTTGGCGCTTCAGCAGCCGGCGTCAGTTGGCGCTTTCATCGGAGATGACTGGAGGGTGAGAGAAAATTGTTTGCTCATTATTCTTCGCACTTCTTGCACTCACTGGGCTTAGAAAAAAGAAATGAAAAATAATGAAATACTAACGCCGAACAGGCGTTTGTTTTGTGTTAGCGTCGAATTTAAAGTAACTGGACCAGAGAGACATTAGTGTGATCAGTTATTTCACCCAGCTGTATCAACTGCGAAGCGTGTTTGGCGTCTCATTTAATGGCAGGATAATTATTATTATACAGTAAAGTTCAACGTCCTGGTTTTCCTCAGTTCATTCATGTTGATATACCCACTAGTTTACCAAATTTCCCGTGAACGATGACTGGGATGTTTCTCCGCCCGCCTTATCCTCACGCTCTGGGTTGCTAACCTGTGCTGATTGCAGGTGCAGTACGTAGTCGACACTGAGGACGAAGCTGGCGGGGACGTGGCGGTACGCATCGAGCGCTGTGCTGACGGGGATCAGGGCGACGAGAGCAGCAGTAGCGGAGACGACGAGCGGTACGACCCGCAGACAGTGACCGTCCCCGTCACACTGTGTCTCGCGATCATGGTGGGGTAGGTACAACGTCTTCGCTGGTCTGAGATTTGAGGTTCTGACGGTGGTGAATTTGACGTTCTTCTGGGATTTGGGGCCAACGATTCAGTGCCGGGACCCAGAAGGACGACGTCGTCGTCCTAAACGGCGTCGTAAGACGGGAATTTTCATTTCGTATCTCTTGCAGAGCGAAGTTCTTCGGTGATCCACGCCTTAAGAATAGCCTGTTGTCCGCTGCAGGTACATTTGCTTCGGCGCGGTCCTGTTCTCCGAATGGGAGGGATGGAACTTCCTGGACAGCTCGTACTTCTGCTTCATAAGCCTCAGCACGATTGGGTTCGGAGACATCGTTCCTGGCAAGCGAGTGATCAGCAGCCAAGAAATTCAGCTGAGTTTCATCTTCTGTTCCGTGTACTTGATGCTCGGCATGGCTCTCATCGCCATGTGCTTCAACCTGATGCAAGAGGAGGTGGTCCACAAGACGAGGACCTGCATGCAGGCCCTGAGGTCCATGTTCAGTTGTAAGCGGCGAGCCCAGAGGAATTTCCAGGACGAGGACTTCGAACTGCCCGCCGACTGACGCAGCCTCTGTGGTAAGTGATTTGTCTCGGGCGATTCTCAGATTTTAAAATTTTTGGCCAGTTTTCGAAGGAGTCTTTGGGCCTGAAGACGACTTCCTCATGATTTGTTTTCAGTGGTGTTGCTGGAGCGTCGTCCAACAGTTTCACGACAGAGTGTCCGCTCTGGGGATGTCTTCATGCCGTCGAAGAGAGTTGACGTTTAGGGACTTTCGTCATAGCAATTTTTTTTCTGATTTGTTCAGTTAATCTGATTTTGTTAAATAACTTAATAAGTCGAAACTTTACGTAGTATGAAGGCCAACATAGATGTTATGCAAAAAAATGAGTCGATATGATAAACTAAAGACCTTGCAAAATTAAATGAATTTAAATGAAAAGTCATTTTTTTCCTGGTTCATAGCAATTTACAACAGGATAATTCCCTGGTTTTTGAAAATTAAATCCTCCTGAATAACAGGCCAATGTTTTTATTAATAAATTTTTTTCTCAAAGAAAGCATAACTCATTTCCATTACACAGATCATTTTGTTAATTCTGTTTACGTAAATAATCGCAATTCGTTCTTCAAATCATACGGGACCGGTAATGCCATCTGCAGGTGGAATTCAGAGTTATCGAACATCGAAGTAAATACAAGCTTCAAAGAATTAACATGGCCTCAGGCCATGAGATAAGATTCATAGCCTCCAACCCTTCATCCCTACTGTATCACTACAGAATTAATACAGAGGGTGGTTTTGATTTCCACCCCGCTTTTATTACAACCCTCATCATACCCCTAATGTAAAGTTTTCCTTTCTGGGTAACGTTAGGTTAGGTTTTCATAAGCACTTGTAGCATTATGAATTATTGCTTTGTAACTGTTGCCGACAAACAAACAAACAAACAAACAAAGCAGTGTTATTTGCACCATTTTCCCCTCCTCAGTTCCCCTCAGTTCCCACCCCCGCCCCCATTTCACCTGTATCCGCCCCTGCCGTTGTAATTTGCACCGGAGAGAGATATCATTATTAATGACATAATGCGAGCAGTCTTCTCGGGGTTCTGTCTGCTCGATATTTTCGGGGGGTAAGTCAGCGAAAGTGGGCCGTATCTTCAAGCTCCTCAAATGTCAAATCATCCACAGACGAATGACAGCCATCTCATTATATAAACATCGTATTTTTATGAACTTAATTTACAGATTTTCAAACGTTCTAATATTGAATTATCCTCACTCCTTACGTAGTCAGTCGCCTCCCTTCGTGTCTACGAAGGGCCCGTTCACGTGCGTAACCCGAAACTGACGAGCTGTGTTTACACCGTGGCGAGATGCAAATCGCTTAAATGGAAGGTATTTATTTCGTGTGGCGATATTCACAAAGCACAGAAGGTTTCTTAAGTGGCTGTAAAGAAATGAGTAGGATTTGAGATTTTCACGGCTGTGAGTCCGAAGATGGCTGTCTCATCGCCCTGATGATGGAAGCAGAAAGAACCTCCGAAACGTTGGTAAACTTCTATCAGACTACGCGGCCATCTTCATAAAGGAATTGGTCTCAGTGTCACGATGCGATATCTTAGCGTGTCCTATCAAATATGAACGGGAATCGGAAAGGAATTCATTTTATTTCAGTGACATCAAATGATATTGGTTTGTTTGTTTTTATGTTTGTTTGTTGTTACTTTTTGTCCATGTATTATTCACGTGCTGACCTGTAATTGACCGCTTGTCTGTTGATTCAACACGCGAGTAAATAAACATTTGAATTGAATTAATGTTGAAACGTTTTAGAACGGAATTAAGGTGACCAAATATTGGAACTCGCCCGATTTATGTTCGAGAATTCGGCCTGAAATTTTTTTGTCTTCCCGTATTGTACCAAAAGACTTCGGGGTCAAAATGGGCCCCATTATTTTTATTTCTCGTTTTTCATAAGGAATCATTTACAACTGCGTTGTACTCTTAGCAGGGGGTAGACGTCTAATTGTAATGTATTGGACTGTTACTTCTCATCCTCCACGCCCACTGACATCTAGGTAAAATGAAATTCCCTCTCTCTCTCTCTTGACAATAATTTTGTTATTAATTTCTCGGTGGCGCTGGCGTTAACCCCCCCCCCCCCCAATATGTAGAACAGTGTTGTGACGTCACTCCTGTTACCTTTAATTTGTCTTAATTCACCTACTTTTAGCGAAAATTTATTTAAAACTTAAAGTACATAATAATTCAATTAAATTCAATTAATTTATTTACGTGTTTGCCAACAGCAAGAAGCCAATAACAGGCAAACACTGATAAATATATACAATAATAATGAAATAATAAAGAAAAAGAATAATAATAATAATAACAAGAAGCAATTCACTGGAATACATGTATTTTCGAGTGACGTTCTTAAACTGCACACCTCATTCTACTTAAGATGTAGTGGTATTATCTGTGGTGGCGTCTGACGTTTGTAAATTGCTGGAAAGAAGTTATTATGGCACGCTCTGCGCCGTGGTTTATCCACTACTACCGTAGATGACGACGTTTTGCCGTGAAACGCGCAGTACAAACAACGCATTCGTGTAACAATGGCGCGAACACCGCAGCGCAGAATGTTATTTGACCGGCAAATACCTACCGTGCCGTCCCGTTGCATAGCCGAGCCGCGACGATTCGATTGCACTCGACGAAGAAGTAGTAAGTGGATTAAATTCCCTGCCACTTATTTCAGAATCTTTTGTTTGTTTTTCTCCGTCTGGTATCCGAAAGCTCAAAGGTTAAATCAAATATGAAAAACTATAGTTGTACCTGTTCTGTATGGGTGTGAAACTCGGTCACTCGCGTTAAGGGATGAACACAGAACGAAGGTGTCTGAAAACAGGGTGGTGAGGAGAACATTTGGACCTAATAGGGATGAAGTGGCAGGAGACTGGAGAAGACTGCGTGATTAGAAGGTCCATAGTTTTGTTCTTCGCCAAATATTATTAGGGTGATCAAATCAATGAGGATGCGATGGGCGGGGCATGTAGCTCGCATGCGGATCAGAAATATTTTCAAGATTTTCGTTAGGAAGTCTGGAAGGGATGAACCACTCAGAAGACATAGGCGCAGAATGGATGATAATATTAAAATGGCTGTTAGATAAATAGGATTTGGGGCGTGGATTGGATTCATCTGACTCGGGATAGGGAGTGGTGGTGGGGGAGACTTGGTAAACACGGGTTGTCGTCTTCTTGTGTTAAATAATCCGGAAATAAAATATTATAATTGATGTTCATGTAAGGGAAGTGGTTTGAAGAATATAAAAGAATTATTTTGGGTGTTATTCTGAGACGTGTTTTTTCTCTGAGGGGGAGAACGGTGTAAATTAAAATAATTCTAGGCCTTCGCTTACGTAAACGTGATGTTCAACGAGGTTTAGTGTCCCCGGAAACGGTTTGTTTTGAGACACGCGTGAACCGAATTTACGGAACTATGAAGTGCGTTGTGCATCTTATGACCTCTGATACGTGTTTGTTGTCATGTGAGCTGTGACGCAGAGAAATTCCCTGACTCTGATATTCTGTAATGCACTTTTTTCTCTTTCTGTGTCTGATGAAGGTTCTACTCTACTTTCTGCTTCGACTGTGGCTGCAGATGAAAGGATCGAGATAAGACGTTGCCTGTCATCATGAGCTGAAGAGAACAAAGATAAAAGAGGAGAAAATGGAGAAGCTAGTGAAAGGGTAGAAGATGACTATAAGAGAACAGTGTTTCGTTATTGTTTTGAGGAAAAATCACATTTCGAAGAAAAATTCTCACAAAATTTCTTCTCTTGTGTTCAAACTGGATCATGAGGTAGATTTTAATAAATCAAACCTCGCGTGACGGAAGGACGGATATACGAACCTATCAACATTTTAATGGGGGGAGGGGGATTTTGTATAATCCTTCGTGACTAGTGGGGGGGGGGAAGCTGTCGATGTGTACACTTGAATTTTGTTTGTTGTACAACTCGGCTCTACAGACAGACCTCAGTATTTAATTTTTATTTCAGATTTCTGAACAGCGTTCCACAGAATTCGGTTCAAGAAACAGGTGTGTTAATGCAAACTGTGTGCGTGAGTGTAAGGTGCCGATGAGAATTGGTGGAATTTTTTTTTTTTGTGGTGAGGTGGCTGACCTGTATGTCTTTTATGTCACTTTGAAATTTTAATTGGACATGTGATAACTTTCTCTGAATAGATCGGATATTGTATTTTTTTTTCCTTTTTGCGATCATATAAAGATTTCAGACACTTAAAAAAGGCAATTTTACAATTAAATGTAGAGAATAAGCTACAATGTTGGTTTGCCTGAATTTAAATCGGCAGAAGTGAAAAATGTGGCGAATATAAACGATGTTGATCTTAGTTTTCAACCAAAGTGGTCTTAATTGTTATTTGAATAATGATAATAATGTAACTCGTTTGAAAGTTCTGTTCCATTGATTGAATTTATCAAAGAAGAAAAACAATTAGTGATAGGACTTTTGTTTTTAGGAATTTACAGAGTAATAATAATAATAATTTGTTGTGATTGCAGCTAGAGGAAAGTTTTAAAATTGGTGGAGAAGTTCAAATGAAGTCCGATGACTTTGTAGGCACACGTCCTTTCTTGGCTTCTCAAAATAACTCCGCTGTGTGGAGTTAGAATTATATTATTTTTTTTTTTTTTATTTATTTGACTGCAAATGGGTTTTTACCCGGTGGCAGTGGTCCTACAATAAGACACAACAAAACATAAGACAACAAAAACAATAAGAAACAACAGAACAATGAGACAGAACAAAACAATAAGACACAAAAAAAACATAAGACAACAAAAACAATAA